AATCACTAGATTTGATGTGCGTATTTCCAGAATAGAGGGAAATCAACAGACCTGCAACTTTCATATATATATTAATCTCGTCAAAGCTCGTTCCTATGCAAAGTTTAAAGTCAAAATTCGAAAATCAGTTTTTCTTAGAGAAGACTATAGCATCCATTTAAAATATTACCGTACATTCATCGTATCTATGCAGCAATCAGCTATGAGTCCGAGTTCTTTTTAGGATATTTAAAAACCATTCGAGTCTACATGATGCACATACCCTCAAATGAAAAATGATTTATCAGTTCAAGGACTTTCCTCATGACGGGTCTTCTTTTTCAACAAGTGCCTTGATATAACAGACACTTAAAAAATCTGAAAGGTGTCCACTATGAAGTAGTTATATTGTATTTATTTCCTACACGAACTTTCAGTTGATCGGTCTGTATTCAACATGATTTATAAAAAATGCCGCTAACATGAAAAGTTTCTTTCCCATGAAGAAAAAACCTTTAAAAATTTTGCGCTCTGTCAAAATAAAAGAAATTACTTCATTTAGAACGTATATTTGAAGGAACAAAACTTCTACGCACAATAAACTTTATAAAAAAAATAATAAATCGATATCATCTCTCATCCAGTAATTGTGGTAATCTTGAAACTTGTTCATTCGAAATAAGTTTTACCACAACTGAACTCGAACATCAATATACTGAAAGAGACATATATTGAATGGTGACAGAAACAGAAAAAAACAATTTCATTATTCTCTATCAGCAAATAAATCATACCAGCTGTGCAGGATTCTCGTATCCTTATTTCCTAAACAGCATAATTTTTTCTGTATACAGGAGTTTTCGGCAAAAATACTCCATACACATGTAGGTACACATAGCTACATTCTGCACCTCTGATCTATACTGTCGTTTGATACAATTTGATAATCGTAAATAGCAGTAAATTAACTTCAGAACGAATAAGCACGATTGTAAACAACCATTTTTTGATAGTTTTTTCACCGTTTGATAGACACAATATTACAATCGTATTTTACAGTATGGTAAACGGTCGAATTCTCGATTGTCAGACTGTTATTAACTGTGTAACCTAATGATAAAATACGGTCGTAATATTGTGTATACCAAAAGTCAATTTACAGCTTTTAACAACTACAAATTATATAAAATAACAGTATACAAACCGTTTTTTGTCGTCTTGGTGATCGTAATCATCATTCTGCGTACATTTAGTAGGCCTTGTATTACGAGAATATTTTATCATTCTTACGCAGCTGATAACGATCAGAAAACCAAATATCAAATCGTTTAGACACCGTTTTTATTCAACTCGGAATATAAAATGTTACATTGAAACTCTAAATATCAATCAGTAAGATATTTTCTGGATTTTATTTTCTTATTCATTTATTCAAGGATAGTTTTATTTATGAGCTTGTTGTTTAATTAAAAAAAAAAATCCTGAAAACATTTTTATTGATTGATAAAATTGATATATCTATGTAGTTCAAAATTCTCTATAATATAAAATAAATTGAAAACAAACTTTATATCTGCTATTGAAGAATCCGATTTGATTGTCACTGTTGTTTTTTCTTTATCATCTGATTGATTAGGTAATGGTGGATGAAAATTGCGTTCGTCTTTATTTAATTGAACAAATTGTGAAAGATCATTAAGTGATCTATTAATATTATTATTGTTGTTATTGTTATTGTTCATTTCATCATTTAATTTTGTTTTTTTTTGTAATGATGAATTTGATGATGACGATGATGATGATGAACGGGAATGACATTTTTGTTGTACAAGTGGTGAATTCGGTGTTGATGATGATGATAATGATGAATTTGTATTTGATGATGATTTTCGTTTTAAAATATCCATACTATAAAAAGCACGTGAAACAGGTGTTTGTTGTTCATCACTTGTTGTTGTTTGATTGTTTGTATCATCTAACCTAGATGATGCTGGTAAATTTGTTTCACTTGCTGCTGCTTCAGCTGCAGCAGCAGCAACAAAATCAGATAATTGTGATGGACTTTCTTTTTCTTTTGAAAATAAATGCTGAAAAACGAAAGTAAAATCTTATTTTAATAAAAGAGGATCCTATCAGATAAGATGATCACTCGTCATCTGAAAATCCGCTTATACTGTTTTGTAGACTTACTCGTAGTGCATTCTTTGGTATATTGGAAGTTGCATTTTCATCAACGTCCAAATATATCTCCAAACCAGCTTGTATCAAATCTTTGTTTAAAATATCTTTCTGATTTTCACTCGTCTATATCTAATAATAGCTGTTTTTGTAACCAAAATCTTACCATTTTTACTAGCTTTTGTAATATTTGGCTATTTATGATGTTTTAAGTTATTCAATACTGATCTTCCAGGCAAAAGTAACCAACTGTACAACTTTCATAGAAATTCGATATTACCCAGCTTTATAAGTATACTAATTAATTGTCCTCTGAATGGAAGCGTGTCATAAATAGATTGGGTAATCAATGTTTGAAAAAGGTCATTTATTCAATTCCTTAGGATAGAAAAGTATACGAGTTTTGCAATATTTTTCTGAGCGAAAAAGTTTATTTATTAATAATAAATTCATCATGATCTATTGTTGCCATATATGAATGTTTCCAAAGTAGCTAAAAAAATTTTCGCTTTCAGACTTGAAAGAGGATACGGGAATGAAACTATGAAAAAGATTGACTTTTCTTTTATTTTGTTCTTCACAAATTTACACATTGACTAGTTCGGTGTGATTTGAATATAGAGCTTTATTTTATTCAATATGTGCAATCTCGTATGAGAATTGAAAATATTGCACATTCTAATGCTCAGTCTAGGAATCTCAAGGTGAAAACATTCTTTTCCCATTTTTCAAAAGATCCATAATACATCAAATGATAGAACATGATGAGTTTATTATTCAGAAATCCAAACTCTTTCGCTCAAAAAAAAAAATATTTATCACAAAGCTTATGTGTTTTTCTACCCTTACAAATCGAACAATTGGCCTTTTCTAGGTATTTATTAAGGGATTTGAAGATGATACGCTCTATTTCAAAAGATAATCAATTGGTTTATTTAAGGAACTTAGTGGGTACTCAATATCTGAGAGAGTTGCATGGTTGATTGCTTATGTTTTCAGAAGCTGCACCTATGAATATAAAACATTATAAAAAACAAAAGTTAACGAAGCTAAAAGAAATGGTTAGATTTTGGGTACGAAAAAAGCTATTATTAGATATACACGATTCAAGATGAGACAAAGTATATTGATGTAAGCTTAAACAAAATTTAATGTAGGTTAGTTTGGACATATACTGAGTTCTAATATTTAAACATATCACTCATAAATGCTACACTATCCCTTAAATAGTATACAGCTTCTCAGAACATTAAAACTTGATGACAATATAATGGTTTTTTTATAAACTATTCCATATATCACAAATTGCTCTACAAAACGATATAGGTGATTTTTCAGATAAAGGTTACTTATAATATCGAGCAGAATTTTTTTACTTTACCTGTCGTTTTAATTGTTCTATTGATGCTAAGGCATTAGGTGAATATTGAAAAGCTTGTATTTGTCGTATAAATTTCTAAAAGAATAATACAAAAAATAAATTTACAATAAAATTAAATTAAAAAACAAAATTTCTTACAGAAAGTTTTGGACGATGTTGTTCACAATAAATTGGATATTGACAATTATTTTTTCTAACATCTTCACATAATAAACCATTTGCTTGTGCACATGTAACATGAAAGACTTGTGAACAATTTTTAATTGTACATCCACAACATGCACCACTTGCTGCAATTATTTTTGAACGTCCATTTTGTATACAAATCGAACATTCTTGTCCAAAACGTGTTGAGGGAATTTTTGATAATATTATTGGTTCCATTGTAGCATCATCACCAAATGATACTTCAGGTATATATAATGCACATACAACATGTGCCCAACCACCATCAGATGTTCGTTTCATTGCACCTTCAATCGTTGGACATAAACGACATGGCTAAAAAATAAAAGTATTGTAAAAAAAAAAACATATAATAAAATTAATTAATTAATACCGATCGGATATCACCAGCTTCACATCGACCACAATACCAATCACCATCAGGTATTGTTACAATGCCATAACATGCTAAATAAGATATTTTTTTTTCTATATTCATAGATTATTTCAGAATGTTTGATTTTTACCAGTATGACAAGCAACTGTACATCCTTTACCATCACAATAAACAAGAGCATTATTAGCAAAACCTTGATCATCTGAACAAACACAACAACCACCAACAAGTTCTTCATTATCATCTAAACCATTTTTTAATATTGTTGTTGTTGTTGATGATGTCGTAACATGTTCATCATCATTTCCATTCTCTTGTGTTTTATTTTTATGATGAAAAACGTTTTTATTTTCTCCATTACCATTTACCATTGGTAATACTGTTTTTGTATCTTTCATTGAACTTTTTTAATTTAATATTAATTTAAAAAAGAAAAAGGAAAGACTAATTGAAATTTTTCGATCAATAAGAATATTGACAATAATACATCTGAAAAAAAAAGACAGAAGAAAAAAGAAAAAAAAGGTCCTTGACATATAGTTGATAGCAATAACTAGATGTCACGTTTTTTTTCTTTTGCTTCTTTTTTTTCCTTTTATTCTCTATTTTTTTTTAATCGAATAAAACAAATTGATTAGAACGATAGAACCATAATACTCAACAACTAGACTTGTTTATTATTATTATTATTATTATTGAAAAAAAAAGAAGAAAAGCCACAGACAACCATTCGTATTAATAATAGCCTTGCCATACATCATTTTGGAGGATATGTCGTCTGTTATAAATGGCCGAATGTCTACGAATGGTAAAACCTGGTCATGTATGGATCTAATCAATGTGTTTATTTCTTGACAATAGTAATAATTTCTTACGCAGTATTTCTTTTTTATTGTCTATATGGGCATCTATTATAGTCTGATATCGGCTTTTTCATCACCAACATCGACTAATAATCGAAATGTTCATTCAATAATACATGTAAAATCTTTAAAAAAACGACGACGTCGTTATAAGCGACATCATTTATCAAATCATTTTTCCTTGGGTACAAATCATTTTTTTCTTAATAGACAAACACATAAATGTCTTTTTCATGAATATTATATATTAAATTCAAATACGGATATATTAACACCCGTCAATTTAAATATATCATTACCAAAATTAAATTATTCAACAACAATACATCCGATAAAATGTACAATTGCAATAAGGCGAGATTCACTAAAATTAATTCATTATTATGAAGATTGGTATTCAATTGATTTTATATTTGATGCTGATCGACCAGTTCAAATTTACAGTAAGGCTTTTTTTTCTTATAGAGTTTTAAAAAAAATTTTATTGCTTTTTTTATAAAGTCTATTTTATGGCACATGAAGTCCATACAAATAATAATGGAACTTTATCATACATGTGTTGTAGAAAAATAAATCAATTAGATGGGGTTAAACAGTACTATGCTTTTACACGACCAGCTGGTCATGGACAAATATTTTCATCGATCAAACACGACATTCTATTTCCTTTATCAGCTATGAATGAAGAACATTATGGATGTACAATAACAGAACAATTGTATCCTATTGTTATTGTTGGTAAAGCAATCAAGGCCGATTTAATAAAGTAATTTAGATGTTAAGTCAGTCGTTAGAAGGTCGCTTGACTAAATGTTTTTTTTAGAAGAATGGATTGAAAATTCAGTAGAAATGCAATTTTAATATATTTTCTAATATTGCTAAGTTTAAAAATTTTAACGGAACAAAGTACTAACAATAATTGACTAGAGAAAACTGTATTCAAATTCTAGTTTTCGATAGAATATATTAGAAGAGCTACAAACTTGATATTACACGAGAATAGAAAGACATGTTATCTGTGAAGACCTTCCTCTAATATAAATAAATTATTTGAAACAAATCGATTTAATTTTGGAGCATTATCTTTCATCGCTAATTTTTCTGTAGATTAGGAATCAACTGACTGAGTCATATTGTACGGAAATAATAACCATGCGTTTTCACAAATGAGAGTAATGAGCAATAATCAATTTTACTTACGAGTAAACCTCAAGTTGAAGATTACGTTTGAGTGTAGATTTTATGTATAAGTTATAGGTGTTTGACTAAAATAAAAATGTTCCATTTACGAGATATTGAATTTTTCAAAAACCAACCTTATTCAACCAAAAATTCAAAAATTTCATGTTGTTTTCGACAACTCAATATCTTGTAAAGAGAACATTCTTTTAAGTTGAACTTTTCAGGATATTCTAGTAACATCTAGGCATATATACGGGCAAGATTTCAGTAAAGCAGCTGTAACTTTGTAGAGAACAATTATCCATTTGTGGTTTTTAGTATCTTACTGAGATTTACCTTTATGTGTTGTCTAACCTCAAAAGCGATTTTCAAGTTAGGAATATTGCCTAGTTAAAATCTAAAAAAAAAGATAATATTATTCACTTTTTTATTTTATTTGAGAGATTTACAAAAATATATTGAATATTTTTAGTAAAGAATGAATGAAAACTTTCAGAAAATCTTTTTCGAGATGGTATTAAACGATTTCCTTTTAATTGAAAATTACCAAAAGAGAGAATAAGCTTTCCGTTCACAGCTTTATCTCTGTCATTGTTTCAGTTATAGTTAAACCATTATTTTTATTAAAATAATCTTTTCAAAAAAGAAAAAAAACATGAACAATCATATATTTAATTAAAAACACCTTTTAGAAGTCCAAAAACTATATGTGGTACAGTGGTGAATCAACATAGCAATATTACTACAACAATCTTTCCAACATTTGATCAATATCATATTGTTTTAGCAACAGTAAAATATTTTCAACTAATTAATCGAACAACCAAGATAGCTTCTGATCGTGCATCTATTGTTTCACTTAGTCAAAAACATGTTTATAATGGAATTGTTTTTAAATTATTTGAATTTTATGGTATTGAAAATCATCAATCAAAATTTTCAACAAATAATCTAAATGATCAACGAAAAACTTCAACAAGAAAAAAATCTTTGATTAAAATTGTTACAGCACCAACTATTTCTGAGAATGAACCTCTGGCAAATATGAATATAACAAAGCGGTAAGAGAAAACAACTTTGTTCTCTAAACTTAATTACAAACGAGAAAAATTAGTTCAAGTAATACCCATCATTAGAGTACATTTGGAACTCACAAGGAGGTCTCCTTAAGACTAGAAATGGCCTAAAATAGTTCGTCCTCATTGACCGTTGGAGCTGAATTATGATCTTTTTTCTGAATTTTTAGCTCCATTGTAGTTACATGCCTTAAGATCAACAAGCAGAATTTCGACGTCAAAATTTTGCCTGTGTATCGTTTGAATGACTCGTAAAATATCTCCAAAATTTCAGTCGAAAACAATGTTCTTGTGTCAAAATTTCGAATGTCCAAAATCTAATCATTTTCAATAAACATTACACAAAAAACAAGTTGTCTTGAAAATTTCATATCTGAACGAAAAACAAGAATTTTCGATTCCAACTTACAAGATACTCTAGATTATTCGACCTATCTATTTAGCAAAATTTTACATCAAAACTTTGTGTTTTGTTTTTTCTGTATAAATCTAAAGCTGCATCAAAAATTCTGTAGAACAATAAAATCTCCGTTATGAAGACGTATCGTCTAAGACTTTTTCTAGTCTCGCCAAGGCGTCCTTCTCGGTCCAATATAAGTTCGAGCAAAAGGCATAGTTTCGGGTAGTTCCCTGGTAAGATAATCAATCAATAGTAGCATTATTATGTATGCAAATAGCAAACATTTTGTTTTTTTTATTGAGTTTCAGATAAATCAATTATTTATTTATTAAGCAGACCTTTTCCTAAGATTAATAGTTATCTGAACTAGATCGAAATAAATTTATATACATATATTTTCATGAAAATTAATTTGATATTTAGTACCGATGACATATCATTATTCAATCAAGAAAGTAAACAAGCACATACAACAAAAAAATCTTTATCATGTATGGATTTAATATTAAATAATAAAAATGAAAGTACGTGTGTTATTTGTCTAACGGATATACGAAATGTTTTACTTCTTCCATGTCGACATTTATGTCTATGTAAAACTTGTGCTGAAAATCTCAAATTTCAATCATCCCATTGTCCAATATGTCGTATACCATTTCGTGCTTTATTACAAATCAATGCTTTACGTCATCATCAAATTTATCAATATGATAGTGATGAATATATATATGAAAATATATCAATAATTGATGCTTTAAATTTAGCAACAACAATAATAAGAAAAACAAATTCTTTAAAACAAATTCATAATAATCATAAATCAATATCAACTAATGATTTTAAGTATTTTTGCAGTGAACATATTGTATAATATCTGTGATATATACATATGTACATATATATAACAAATGATATTTTATTCGTGGATAGAGGTAGTTGTATTTTTTATTTTAATGAATTGCATGTAGAGTTGTTTCGTTGCTTTTATTTTGCCAAAAACAAAATTCTTATGATTATGGTTATTATTAAAACTACTATCGACATTATTTCTTTTCTTTTTTTTTCTTTTACCAAAAGGAAGTTTTATCAGATTTGATGATGTCTAGTGTCTGTTGTATGTGTTATTGAGTGGCATCAAACAGTAGGAACAAAGATGATCGTTTATTCATCTATGGTTCAGAGAAATGAATAGGTCTGTTCTTTTTTTCTTTTTTTTTTTCTTCTTATTATACGAGATGTGAGCATGATTGTGGGTCAAGTAATCATAATCATTCGCCGATGGGCACTCGCCGCCTATCTTGAGTAAATATTAATACAAACGAGACGAAGAAAAAGAGGTAAAAAAAGCTATTTTTATATATTGAACATGATGTATTCATGTTTTCATATAATACACCTTATCGAATTTAATTTAGTTAGTGCTCTAGGCGGATTGATTGCAGCTGACGAAAGATTTTGACCAGATATCGTGAATGTCTTCTTTTCTTTTTTTGGTAAAGAAGTTTCCGAAAGAATGATGAAAGACATTCAATTAGAACGAAAGAATCAAGCAGAAAAAGATATGGTTTATGTCAATTTTTAATGATTTCCGATATAGTTTTTTCTTCTTCTTTTCTCGAAGTACTGACTGACTAAGCATTCATTTATCATTCGTGCATGATCGCAATTCTTATGTAAATGGTTTAGTGTTGATCAGACATCGGTTCTTTTTCTATCATCTGTCTTATATGTGTATGAAGAAAAAAAAAGCGAAATGAGCTACAGAAAAGAATGAAGATTAATTTCATTGTAGAAACGGGCGGGAGACCTCTTTAGGGAATCCTATGGAAATTGATTTCGGAGAAAAAAAAGAAGCCAGAAGAAGAAGAACTATGAAGCAGTGATGCTGTTATTGATGTGGTTGTATCAACGTCATCGCAGACTTCCTTTAATAACAAACTGTTCTGATGAAGAGAATGTCAGTGCAATTGTGAAAATAGACAAGCAACAACTTATAATAAGAAATATCATTTTCTTTCTTCCTGTTTTGTTCTTCCTTTGCACTTAAGTTTGTCAAAAAGGAGTAAAGAAAAAAAATGAAAGCTGTTTTTTTATTATCTATTTGGGTATGCGTATGATTGTAGCCTGATTTCAGCATTCCAACACTGCTTGATTAATCTGACTGATTTTTCCATCTGTTGTTCCGAGATCGACTGCAAAAATGCAATAATGATGACTGTTACTACTACTCGATAGACGATAGAATGAAAAAAGTAGTCCCAATAGAAGTGTTTCTATCGAACGCTATCGAACGATCGTTAAAAGAATACTATCATCTCATCAGTTCATCTATATCTATATATGCATATGTGTGTGTGTGTGTGCACGCGTGTGTGGATGTTGATGTATGCCTGCTGTTCGTTCTTATACAGTTTTTCTTCATTTGATGAGTGTTCAACGAGATCATTAACACCCTAACACACGTGTCAGATCCTTTAAATTTACTTTGATTACTTTTTCTCTTTTTCGTGTGAACACGGATCACTTCGTCAAGTAACTGACATTTACATGTCTAATGATATACAAAAAAAAGATATAGTAGGATTCTATTTGTAAAGGTTGATGCTCTTTTCCTTTCACAATGTTAGTTTTACTTTTATTTTTGTTGTTCTTCTTTGTGCGCATTTATACAAGTTTTACTAGTCACATTCATCATTACAGGTGAAATAAAAATGAGAATTATAGACATAGAAAAGTCTGCATCATACAACGAGCAATCTTCTTTCACATTACTACTGCCGTTTCCTTTTTGGAAAAAAGAGGAATGAAGTCAGCAAAGTTCCTTTTTCTTCGTCGTTTTCTTTTTCTTTTTCTTCGTTTTATTCTTTTGCTACCATTCTGCCTTTTTTTTTCTGCTTTTCCTCGACGATAGCGACTACTGCGCGACAAAAGAAAATGCATTTTTTCCATAACGACTCTTGTCCCGTTAACGATAATGATCCTTTATGTGATGGCGACGGGCAAGGCCAACAAGCCACTTTGTAAAGTCCACAATCATTGTCACGATCAGTAATTAGATTGTATTTCTTGTTTCTATCTTTTTATATGAAGTTTGACATATTATTTTTTTTTCTTTGTCACATATCACACAGACACGTTGCTTAACTAACGAAATGAAAAATTTCTATGATGACGTCGATTATACAACTTAATAACCTTTCTTTCGAACGTCTAATATTTTCTATCGCTTGAAGAGATGCAGCAAATGAATAGAAGTTTGTTGAGCACGACAAGAATAAAAACCACACGAGAGAAAATTTTCGTATAATTTTGTTGCAACTGTCTTTCTTATATGATTGACTAAATGCGTAAGCAAGCCAACGGCTAACATGCGCGAAGCGAACAAGACGAAGAAGTAATAGTTGTAAGAGAAGGAGAAGAAGAAGAAGAAGAAGAAGAAAAGGTTCCATTTGTCCTCTCTCTCTCTTTACGTCTTCTTGTTGCCGTTTGTTCTTACTCGTCGCGTACCTTCGCATTTGCCTACGCAGCTCTATCATTTTCTCGCCTTTGCTTTTACTTCCCGAACAGTATGAATTGCGACAAACGGCGCGTACTTGTTTAGATGATGCGCATACAAAAAAAAGAAGAAACATGCTTATTTGTTACGATAAGTGTCGCATGTTCGATGCTATTGTTGATAGATACAATACAATATATATAAATAGTATAAAAGAAAATTGAGACTTTGTTGAACTACGTATATACAATCAAGGTTAATAAGACATGAATGAGAAGTTCAATATTGAACAAAGTAAAGAAAGAACAAAAATAAAATATAGAACAGATTGAAAACAATATCGTTTTTCTTTCTTTGTTCTCTATTGTGTCAAGAAAAAGAACATCAGCGCTTACGCTAGATGCGTGATTGATAATGAATATATCTGTTGAAGTTCTTTTTTTTCTCTTCATACACTTTTCATTCTTATTCTCAAGTGTTTATGACTATTTTTAGATTTTATTTTGTTTTCTTCTTTTCTTTTTTTGTTTCTTCATTTTCTTCCTATTCTTTGTTTAACATCATGTTCAAGTATAGCAAATTAATGAAAGCATTTATCATGTGTACATAAATTTTCATTTATAAGTTGTATATGTGTAAGTAATATAATCATTTAAATTATCATAAAAATAATTATTCATTACAATTTCTTTTTTGAAAGGAAAAGAAACGCACGTGCTCAGAATGGAAGTTACAACAACATTATCAAAAACATTTAAACGATTTGCCATACCTCGTAGTACATCATCGATGGGCTCATTTACAACAACAAATGGTACTGCAACTAACGTTGAACAAAAATTTGAAGAATTAGCATCATCGCAAACAATACGAGATTCATCACTTAATGGTAATTCATCGTCAAATCATAAACATCCACCATTATCTTATATTCAACATATACGACCAGTTCAACATCATTCACATCAAAATTTATCTGTATCTTCACAAGAACAACAAGAAAAACAACAAAAAAATCATCTACCTATTCGACCATTAAGTGGAGATATTTCATCATTTATGACACGCTCATCATCAACTGATTTTCAATCCTCGAATGACTATTTACCAAAAGAAAATAAAGTATTATATTTACTATTTCACTTCATTATAGACAAAAGTCTTTCATTCACCATATCTCGGTTACTATACGTGATGGAGAACTGAAATAGTGCACTAAGAATTTAGTTTAGAAGCATGAGGTCACTCTGATTGCTTACATACAAGGACAATTATGATGAAGGACATCCATTTTTACTTCAGGCTTTTAACCTTAAAATAATATTGCCTATAAAAGTTGTACTTACCTATTATTAGGTACATGATTAATCTATAATATTTTAGCATGTAAGCAAAGCTCAGTCTATGCTCTTTTTTTTTAGCCAAAAGATTAGATCTTTGCATGACTCCGATAAGGGAACATTTTCAATTGACTTATCGCTTTTTCATTTAAAAATTAGTGGTATTGACCTGGCTGGTTCCGAATATATAATAATAAATCCCATTAGGTCCTTATATACCGGTGTTCTAGACTAACAGACTTTTTGCTAAAAAAAATGTTTTGAATAGTTCAGATTATAGAGCATACGAATAGCTTAGAAAATAGTAAATTTTTCTGTTTTTTTATGGTCTTTGTAGAAAATGCAGCTATTTTTATGCATACAACAGAAACACAATAATGTTTTACTGTGAAAGCCTTCTAGATAATATTATTTTACTTAAAAATCATATTCGAAAAACAAAGATAAGATGATTGACTTAAAGACAATTCCATACACTTTATAACCTGAATGAGTCATAGACGATTTTGGTAGTGTTTGTTAGGCTGGATAGTCGTTTTTCTAGAAAATCAGCATAAAAAAACCTTAGAGGATTTGTTATAGTAATATTCGGAATCAGCATGGTCGACTCTACTTGCTTCCGACAAAAATACGAATGATCAGTTGAAAATATTTCTTCATTAGTCCTCTGCACCAACATAATGAGTATTCTCTTCGATGAAATTAGTACGGTAGATAACGAGAAAACAAATCACTAAATAATAAAGAATGCATCGACTCATCAAATTCTTCTTTTTCAGACTTATGAAGTTAGAAGGATAAATAGGTACGATCCATCATAATTATCATTCCATTTAAACAAACGAGATAAGTTCGTGTCTCTGATGTACATTCTTACGAGGCAAGGCCCCCAAGTGATAAATTGCTTCCAAGCTGAGACTACTTTCAATCTATAGAGTCTAATGAGTAGGTTAATAATCTAGAATAGTTCGAGCTGCTGGATCTTTGTTGCTTAGAGTTCGAATATTTACTGGATTTTTCCTGCATGACTTAGAG